CTGTAAGTGAAAAATGTTCTGAAGCTTAATGATGAATTCCAAAAATCTTGTTGCAAACCACATGGAAGTCTTTAAAGGTGCTGAAATCAATATCTAAATAAAAAATGCAAATCTTCAAAATGTTATCTTCATAAAACGATATACATGATATTTACATGATATTTTCTTTACTATTTCTTACTGGTATAAGAGGATAGAACTCTACGGTGGCCGACAGGTGCAAACGCACTACAACGGCCCAAAACACTTCCAATAGGCAAAACACGCATGCCGCTTTAGAGATGATGCAAATATAAAAACATAAATGGGCCAAAACACATGCAAATGAAGAAACATCATCACTAACTTGACAACACAACTGCGATATTTCGAAAACATTACCCCAACTTAAACAAAACGCTGAGAATAAAAAATGCAACACAACAGAAACAGAGACACTGAAAATCGATGCAAACAGCTTGGAACGCAACGCTTGTCAACGTTTTGGGTTTATAAAGCCGAGTAATTGAAAGTGTTCTGTCAGTATATTTGAAATGATAAGGTTGACAGGTAGTTAACAGCGGATGTGCAATAACATCGGAAAATAATCATGTGTTCACATTGTCAAAATGAACCAATACAAATGTTTAGGTACATTTCCAGTGACAGTTCGTGAAGACGTTTCTTTATTTGCATGTGTTTTGGCCCATTTATGTTTTTTTATTTGCATTGTTTCTGAAGCTGCAGCGCGTTTGCCCTAATGGAAGTGTCCACAATTTTGCAACATTGCAAAAATAATCTGATAACAAATCTAAATAAATTAAAACCAATAATGTTGTTTCGTAATAAAAAAATGTAATATATATGCCTTTTGTCGGAATAAAGCCGTATCCAAACATTGAGCCCTGCAGCACTTACTCACTTGTGATATTTACCCATCACCACAGAACTCAATGAAAAAGAAGAAAAATGACCTTCATTTGTTGCATTAAATAAAAAATAATCATGATCTGGACTTGCTTTAAAATGTCCACAGAGTCTGTGGTCACATACTGTGCAGACCTTATTCTCTGCATCCAGGGAAACCACAATGGGCCTCCAACTCAGAGTCTGAGTGGTACTGTTGCTGCGCATTATCTGCCAGATGGGCCAGCATAGGGCCTGCTGGAGGGGGAGACAGGGTCACATCCTCCATCCTCTTGCATTATGTAAGATTTATTTTTGGGATGTACAGTTCAAACCAGTGTGGGTTTGCCAAGTGGTTGTCAGACAGTCAACCACTCTCAGACTCTTGAGCATGATGTGAAAATCGCCAGTTTGACCACCAGAACTTATTTCCTCTTATATGTCAGACGGGCTGCCTCACTAGTTGCAATTATCAGTCAGTATAAAATGTGCAACTAATCATAGAGTAAGAATATCTCTGGCATTAGTGTTACATTTATTTGCTCACTGAATCAGGCCAACAGCTGCGTGGGATTCACTGCGATGTATATACAGGTGTTGCCAGTTCCTTAGCTTCAAGGATTACCAAGCGTTTCCTTAGTGGCACGGCTTTGGGCTCAGTAAAGCTGAACCTTTAGGACATGGCACACTTTGTAGGGCTTAATATGTTATGCCTCTATCTTATCACTTGTTCTCTCTTTCGCTGTCTGTCTTCCAAACCCCTGGTCTAATGAAACATCTCCAGCATTACAAGCCATGTGGGTGTCTTCAAATGAATAAAGAGAACCCCACAGTCCTTAGAAGCTACGTGGCATAGCTAATCTGCCACTCTAAATTGTCTATTTTCAAAGACAGGCAGCATGTGTTCATCATGTTTGTGAAGGTAACCCTGATCTAATTAGCCTTATTAATCTATTCAAAGTCTTAGAGGAAGGAGGAACTCCCCTGAGATTGTTATGTCTTCAATGTGTGATGCAAACTACGAGTTATTCCCTGATATAGTGCTATGATTAGATTGTTATGGTGTCTGGTTTTGCCTACCTCTATATCACGAGGTTTCTAGCAATACTGGAGCACATTTGTGATTTGTTTAAACGCAGAAGTGTACTGCAACAAAATTACTGCAGCAACATCACCACTCATATCTAGTATGCTTATAGAGTGGTGCACTCCCTCGACATAAAGCTCTGTGGCAAACACACATTCAGATGCTTGTGTTTCTTAGAGATTCTAGATTTTCAGACATGGCACAACCACGTGCAAAGTCAATACAAAAACATGAAGGGTCAAAAAGAAATGCAAACTCCCCCCAAAAACATATAAGGCAAAACGTGAATAGACAAATCATAAATACCACATACAGAGACAGGGGAGAGACCGACTTGCTTTCTAGTGAACTTCAGTTTTAGAGCCACTAAATCCTTTGAAAGCTTGGCATATATCAGGGAGCTACTCTCATTTTGAATCGATTATTATTTCATGACTCAAATAATTACATTACTAATTGTAAGTTAAGCCTGTTTTTATTTTTGTTCCGGAGCCAATATGTACCGTAACAAGAAATGCACTGAACCCTATCAGGTTTAACACTTGACAGAAACCAAACATTCATGCTCCAATAAGCTTCAGCCTCCCTGAGATTGGGTGATGTGGGTTCTTTACACTTCAGTGGGCGAGTCTGGATTTCAGAGGGGGAGTAAAGGTAGAGAAGAAAAAGAAGTTGGAGGACTGGCTGTGCAGACAGGTAAAGCTCTCATCTGTCCATCTATTTACTTATCCTTCCATTTCTCCGCTCCATGCCCTCACTTTCTACCTCCTACCAGTGACTCACAGGTCTCACACACACACACACACACACACACACGCACACACACACACACACACACACACACACACACACACACACACACACACACACACACACACACACACACACACACACACACACACACACACACACACACACACACACACACACAATGACATTTTAAGCATCCGGGCACATGACTATTGTTTAAAACAGACTGGAACAATCTATTAAGGGAGAAGAGCAAAGGCGACAAGTAGCAGTAGCTATCAGATCTTTCCTTGCAAAAAGCTAATTAATAATGTCCATGGCATTTCTTCCCTTTACATGGGAGGTCTGCAAACTCACAGACTAACTTATATTGTGCTACAGCTACTAGCACAACATCTCTTCTTGCTAAGTAAGACTCGCTTGATGCTTACTGCTGCTCAAGCTACCTGAAACAGCCCCGAATCAAGTTATTTTCATTCCTCTGAAAAGCAAAAGTAGCCGGACACTCAGCGGCTGGGAGAGGGGTTTAAGGAAATTCTATTGTGCTTACTCTTAATTTGTATACATACTGTAGAAGACAAACGTTTTTGAAGGATTAACAGGGCACCTAGCTGATATCGTAATATGTTCTTGCTAAACCGATGCCATTCTTATTGCTATGAATACCGCACACATTTTCAATTTGCATAAAGATACAATTTCTTCATCCAAATAACATCTCCGGATACAGTTCCTATGTAAATGCCTGCTGTAAATGGGGTCTCAGAGTTAACTTTGAATAGCTCCACTTTGATTTGAATTCATCAATACTCTCTCACGTACTGTAGCTCCAAAGTCCAAAAAGCTTCCCTCTTTACCAAATAATCCAATGAAAAAAATAACATTATTACAAAATGTTGTTGGTTTGGTCCTGATGAATACATTATTTCCCTTTATTGCCCTATAATTGCATTCTATATTATTTATTTTCTAAAAGAAAAGGAACAATTAGCGAGCCCTTGAAGAAGCCATAGTGGAAAGGGTTGTGTTTGAGGCATGAACTTCTTCGGTGCAGACAGTCCCAGCAGAGGTAAATACGTTTATTCTGTGCATTAATTAAAGGGATAATATAGTTTTAGACTAATTGTATTTGCACTTTACTCCAGCTTTCATAGGATTTGAATGCCAAATGCCTGCAGGTTGAAGCTCTTCTAAATGAACCCAGCTAAACTCAGTTCATGGATGTCAGGGAAACAGAAACTCTCAAAGGATGAGTCGAGATAAACCAACCAGTTAACTTCCAATATAGGCAACTCTAACCTCGACAGTAACATAACAGTTTGATCACCCAGAACTCATTGAGGTGTGGTTAATGTCATCCCAAGGTTTTAGTGGAAAGAAAACAGTTTGAACTATTCACCACAGCGCATGCTGGGTTTTCTCCTTGTGCAGACAGCTCTAGATATTTCTTGGCTTAGAAAAGGTAAATCTGTCTTTTCTAGCATCAAAGAGAACTACAGAGTGGATGTCGCTGTGGCATATGTTTACTGCAGAAGTGGAGGCAGCATTTCTATAAGAGTGATCAGAAACAAGAGGAGTGGAGTTTGCTGCCAGAAGGATTTAACATTTCAGAATATTTGGTTTCATTGGAATATTGATTTCACTCTTATTTCTATTTTGAAACTATAAGGTTGTAGTTGCTAGTTAGCTTAGCTTAGCATAGGGGAAACAAAATGTCTGCCTAAACACAATCTGCCTCCCCAGCACCTCAGGAGTTCAGTAAATACCACACAATTTCATTTTCTATTCAATGCCCATTTCCCCAAGTCAATTACAAGAGACCTTTTCATCCGCCTGATTCCAACAGCATTTCATGTTGACACTGATTTTGGGTTTTAATGGCGTCACAGCTTGACAATGTTATTAGTCCAGGCCTGAGGCACCGATGTTTGTCGTCCTGTGGTGCTTATTGGCTCAATTGCTTTAATGTCTGACTACACGGTTCTGTAGCCTTTCACAGCCATTTTTCAGGCCTTCCAGTTGAGGGGGTGTTTTATAGTAAAAACAGATTATGTATGGTGGGTCACTCTAAATATTTATAACTGGAGGAAAACAACATCATAAGTTGCACTTTTTAGGATGAGATCGAGATCGCCTCATGCGTCAAACATTAATTAGGTGGTAAACACTGACTCAACATTACGTTTGCCTTTCAAAGATGTGGTAAAAATGTCAACCAAAGTCAAATATGGATAAGGGTTGACTAAGATAAAACATGACATAAAAGAAACAGAAAACATTCAAAATGAAAACATATTTTTATTGTCATACACTTTGTAAAGGATGAGTGCAAATAAAAGAGCTTGTGGTCAAAATATAACCATCACTAAGCCATGGACCATAAGGCATCATTAAATACAAGCTGTTTGGAGCTATCATCTACAATACAAGGACGGAATCAAGGAAAAGAAACAACACAGCATCAATGTTTATGCAAGTAGAAGGAAAATGATAATAAGTTTAAATGAACTGATAACAGAAACAACAAAAAAACACAACACAATTCGTACATTCAAAAGAAAGAAGTCAAAACAATTCACAAGGATATTGATATTACTGCAAGTGACGATAAAACATAGTCTACAATCGGTTATGTACACTTGGCACTAATGTTAGATCTTTGATTGTTGTCCAGTCAGGTTGTTTTCAACTCTAGCATGTGCACAGGCCGCAACTCCTTTTATCTTATTTAAATGCTAGTCTAATCAATTATATAATCTATAAATATTCTGAAACAACCATTCTGTCAAACAAAGCTGTTGAAAAGTTTGGCAAAGCCTGACGTAAAACTTCATTAGGTATTGAGATCCAACTGCTCAATGGACAACAGTTCATCAGAAAAATGCTCACATAACTTTTATATATATAGTGTAGAAGGATTTTTTTTCATAACAATAATCAATCTTTGATAGTCCAACTCATGCACTTGAAAGTTGTAAACAGTACAAATATAAATGATCCACTTACAATATTTGAATCCCAGCAATTCCAAAATAGACAGACTCCAAAAACAGCAGCAGATTGTTTGTATGCATTTTCCAACACTGGCAGATGTGTATATAATGAATTGAAAATGGCTATTAAACATGATTGGATTGTCTCTATATATTCCACGTGGCTAGAGAGAATCAAAAGCAGTATACAGCTCAAATGACGCCAAAGCTTCCAATTCATGATGATATGACTCAGACTTGTTATATCTTTATAACACACATTTAAAATATATAATGATATATAGTAGAAAGTAGAAAAATGGCCTGGGGTGGTCTTTAGCATTGTGATATGTCTTTTGTGATACAGTATGTGGAAGGGAAAGTTCAGCCAGATTGAAGTTACTTTGTTTTTACTGTAACTTTATAATCCAATAACTCAATAATTTGCTTTGTTTAAATGAAACAAATTAAGATTTAAAAAAACAAAAAGGCAAGTTTGTGATTAATTTGTCCTCCAGAGTCACTTTTCTCGGCAGTGTTGTAGTCAAGAAGAAGCATTATTAAAAACGATTTTGTTTGCTAAAAGATTACCGATACCTGTAAGTTAAAAATAACTTATGATATACGTATTAATATATAGAATAAAGACTTGCAATTCATTTTCAAGGTGTGTTCCAACTAAAAATCATATTTGTCTTTACTTTCTTTCTTTGTATATGTATGTGTGTGTGTGTGTGTGTGTGTGTGTTTGTTCTTGCTACAAAGAGAGGACCGTTTGAAAAGTGAGGAAATTTTTTCCGGTCCTCACTTCTTCTAAAGACCTGTTTGAGGGTTAAGACTTTGGTCGGACTGAGGCTTAGGTTAAGGTAATATTAAGGTAAGGGCTGTGGTAGGCATTTAGTTGTGATGGCTAAGGTAAGTGTAGGGTTAGGGTTAGGCATTATGTCAATGACGGTCCTCATGATAGAAGAACATGTAAGTGTCTGTAAATGTGTGTGTGTGTTTGTTCAAGAGTACCTTTGCACTATATGCATGTACTAGACCTTTGTTTTATTAAATAAACTGAAAATTAATTGATTTCAGTGGACATGTCTTTCACTTGAACTGAGTAACTTAGTATGAAAATTCCTGATTTATTAATAACTAACTTCAAGCGTACTATATAAAATAAACATTAACTTTTACCTTCAATGTGTGCCTTATAGGTATTTGAGGAAATGCGTCAAAGCAAAGTTAAAGGAATATAAGTTTAATAATCTTTGGAAAAATAATTCTAGTTGAGGCTGAATGAATGTAAATTCAACCTGACTACAACACTGCTTTTGAGCAGCTCCAAACTAATTTGACCATGTGCCAAACAAAGGAGGACTTCTTCTCTGAGTTTTTGTGTTTCCTTTCAAAGGTTGTGTGCTCCCTTTACCCGTCTAACAGTCACATGATTTTCCTGTGAAGATCTAAATGATTCTGGTCCTCAGACCCAGCAATAGGTCGTCTTAACGTTTCCAAACTATTATAATAAACCATTTCATACACTAATCAGAAAACATTTCAGTTAATGTAAAAATAATATGCATTTATAAATGGGTGATGGGGGTTTAGGGGGCTCAGTGATAGCATATCTAAAGGGTAATTAGTTGATGAGATACATTTCAAGTGTCAGCGATTTCTCAGAACAGCGTCAAGTGAGGAAGTCCTGGTCTGACTGGCTTTCCCCCCCAAAGACTCTTATTGTTCAAACATCTCACTTATGTTCAAAGGCAATATTCAAGAGAGAACATTCTCCCATCAAAGAACGGTGCCAACACATCCCTACACAAACAGGGATGCTGGCCTCTTCACATTCAAATGGTACGGTGTAAATAAGAGGACCATTTTTGAAAGTTAAATAAAGCTTTTGAGACAAACATGTAGCTTATTCAGACATCCACACATGAGAGACCATGAGGTAACAGTGACAAAATGATCTACACAGTTGACAGACATAAGGAATGGCAAGACAATGCTATGAATATATACAATGTGTGATGTACAACAGTTACATTCATTCAAAGCAGAACACAAGAAGACATTGGAAAATAAATCTACATTTGATCTCAAACATATTTTTTTTTAAAGTCCAGGATGATGTGATCAGTCAAAAGTTACAAGCAAGATACATCCACAAAATCAAATCAAATATAATGAAGGGATCAAGTCAATAGTAAAAGACAAAAAAGATAAAGGAAAAAATATCTAGTATGGTTCAAATCAAACCAAAGGAAATATGAGTCCCGACTGCTTTGAGAAGCCTGACAGTCTCTGTACACACACATGCCAACATTCCATGAAAGTACACACAGCACGGGCAGTTTTCATCACTGGGCTGGCTTTTGGATTCAGTGCATTCTTTAAGGAGATGGGTTATTTATGAAGAGTAATGGCGGCATATTTTTTTTATATAGTTGCTGATTGTTTGTTGTTTTGTGTCCCTAACTCATTTGACATACTCAGCTGACTTCCAGAAGTGCCCTGGGTGGGAAAGGCGACGATTCCGTTTTGGCAACTTTTCCAGTAAATCTACCAGCTTGGAGAAGCTGGGCCGCTCATCCTGCTTGTACGCCCAGCACAGAAGCAGAATGTCCTGTGAAAGATACAAGGGAAAACAAGCTTTTAGATGTGCTGATTAATGAAGGAATACGTGCAAATAAAAGTCTTGATTTTCCTTGATGTACTTGCGCTGTGTCTCAATCCGACACTTCCCTAGCCATACACTGTAAACATTTGTGCATTGTGTGAATTTCCACCAGATATATAACCTCGAATTGTATAGGCTGCTGTGGCATCACCGGAAGTGATGACGGCTGCTGTTACGTGTTGAATACCGATAAAACACAATTTGAGTAGTACTGTGTTCTAGGCAGGGTTGGGTTGTAATGGAATACATGTAACGGCGTTACATAGTCAGAATACAAAAATCAAGTAACTGTATTCAGCTCGCGTTACATTTGAAAAATGAGTAATCTGTTTACAGTTACTTTCGTAAACCTGAAGTGAATACATTTTGGATTACTTATTGGAATTATTGGTTGAAAGATTTCCTCTCAACATTTAATATTCATTACTAAAGGTACAGCCGAATCATCACAACGCACAAAACCTATTCAGTGAAACGATAACAACGAAACATGGAGGAACACAAGTCTGCATTTAAATCGTGTGTGTGTGTGTGTGTGTGTGTGTGTAGAGGTGTGTGTGGTTAAAACATATCAGCCTGCGGTCGCTCGTTAGCCTTTCTAATGATTCTGAAGGTAAACACAGTGAAGGCGGTGCGTGAAAGGCGGTGCGTGAAAGGCGGTGCGTGAAAGGCACTGCACGCTCCTCTTCTCAGAGGCTGAGTTAACGTTCCCGCTGCCTCCTGGTGCACACACTCTCCTGTTTTGCCAATCCGGTGTTTAAACAAATATAGCTCTACACCCCTGGCCGAAATGTCCTTAAAATGAAGTCGGAGTTCGAAATATATCTCAAATAATGTATGCACTGTAATTTCCCCAATAAATATAACAGTCTGCAATGAAATGGTTGTCTCCTGTGTGCTCCACTTCACTTCCTCCTTGGCGCACCGGTAACTATCTCGAAAATAAATAAATAAGTCGGGATAACGGACTTCATATCATTCATATGGAGTGGGGCCAGACTAATGTGGAAGAGCAAATGAAATGGCAGGACAGAAGGCGACTCCCTCACTCCTCACATCACAAGCTGCATCCCCAGAAAGTGTATTATGTTGTTACATCGTTTCAGAAGTTATGTTTCAGTTGTGCTCTTGATACGCCATTAAAACAGTAAAAACACGTTCAGTTTCCTTTTGCTTTTTGTGTCTCCTGTTCACCAAAACATACCCATCTGTGAAGGAAAAAGAAAGTAATCCAAAAGTAATCTAAAAGTAATCTGAATACGTTTTTGCATTTTGCAATACCTACTTTGGAAATAGTTACATTCTCAAACTATCTCTAGAGACTCAGTATACTTTTCTCAAATATTGATTTGATTGTATAATTCTTAAACAGAAGGTTTCACAATGTAAAGTTGTACAATTTGAAATATGAGACAAAGATACTGTATGAGGTCAAAGTAATACATGTTTAGTTTGGATCACTCAGCAACACAGTCAGCACTTTTATTTTTATGTGGTGGTATAAGAGCCTAACCAAAGTGTCAAAACAAAGCATATCTAATTGTCATCTTCTGAATCTTTTTTTTTGCAGAGATTTCACTTCTAAAACGTTTCTTTGTTCTTGGGTATTGTCTTGAAAACAGTCTGTGAAACTAGCCCGAGATTGCACATTGTCTTTATCACGAGAAGTTAATTTCCGAGTAATAATCAACATTGTGTTGGAGCACTTCTGATCTAGGTTCTATTTCGTCCCTACTGACCGCCAGAGGCGGTGATTTAAGCACTGGATATGTCCATCGCGCGCATGCGCAGCTCGAGTACCAATAACAACAAAGTCACCTGTGACCCACGTGACACCGGCTATATCAGCCGGTGTCGTCAGAGGATCTGTTCCTTTCATCTTCTCGCTGCGCGAGGGTACCATGGCTACATTTTTGTAGCCTACAGCGTTCAGGTTTGAACGTTTGATCTGAGGGATTTCTCTGCAAGCAGCTGGCCGCGTGCAGCTTCGTAACTAACAGTCGGAGCTACGGGTCGTTAACGCGTCCTCCAGGAGCTGTGGCCGGCTGTGCGCTGTGCAGAGCCTCGACAGACAGGTTGGTGTCAGCTTGTTGCTGGTGATGGCTGTGTCCCCGCACCCTCTCCCAGCCAAGTTGCCCTGATTGCTGTCTTATTTTTTGTTTGGCTTAGACTTTCTGGTGACGACAGTGTTCCCGCTTCCTCTCCCATAACGTTGCCCTAATGCTCTTTTGAAAGTTCTGCTTGTGGCGTTGTGCCCGAGCTATCATTAGCATTTGAGTCCCAGCTTTGGCTGCGTCCCTCATTCAATTTAGTATGGAAAGCCCAGAGTGTCATATTTTAAACCCGTTTTTCGTTTAGATGCATAGAGTAAGGTAAGTACTTTCTATTTCTTAGAAGCTATTATCTGGTCTTAACATTTGTGTTCTGACTTGGTCACTTGATTGTTGGCAGCAGCCGCTTGGCTAACACCTTGCTGTTAAGCTTAACTATTAACTCAGCCGGTGAGGGCAGTGCTCCCGCTCCCGGTAACATAGGGTTTGATTGCAGTAGCGCTAGATCGTTGTATTACTGCTCCTAGTACTAGACTCCTAGCACTAGGATGATATGCAGAGAACATCTTCACTGCGGGTGCTGTGTGCTCCGCATTTGCGGTTACTACTGTAACCATGGCCTATGGTTCTATGCGGGCTGTTCTCTTTCTTAGAAGCTAATTATCTGGTCTTAACATTGTGTTCTGACTTGGTTGCTTGATTGTTAGCAGCAGCCGCTTGGCTAACACCTTGCATGTACTGTTAAGCTTAATTATTTAACTCAGCCGGTGAGGGCAGTGCTCTCGCTCCCGCTCCCGGTAAACGCATGGTATGGTTGCAGTAGCGCTATATCGTTGTATTTACTGCTCCTAGTACTAGACTCCTAGCACTAGGACGATATGCAGAGAACAATCTTCACTGTGTGTGCTGTGTGCTCTGCATGTGTGGCCATTAAGGAGGATTTCATCCTCCCAATATTATATTATCTAGTGGGCAGCCGTTTGGCTGACACTTTAAGGCACCGGCCACAGTTACTACTGTAACTAAGGTTCTAACCCGTAAGTACTGGCCATAATTACTACTGTAACTACGGTTTTAAGCCGTGTAAGTACTGGCCATAGTCAATACCGTAACTACGGCTCTATGCTGTGTAAGTACTGGCCATAGTTACTACTGTAACTACGGTTTTAAGCCGTAAGTACTGGCCATAGTTACTACTGTAACTACGGTTCCAAGCCGTGCAAGTACTGGCCATAGTCAATACCATAAACGGCTCTATGCTGTGTAAGTACTGGTCATAGTTACTACTGTAACTACGGTTCCAAGCCATGTAAGTACTGGCCATAGTTACTACTGTAACTACGGTTCCAAGCCGTGCAAGTACTGGCCAGAGTTACTACTGTAACTACGGCTCTATGCTGTGTAAGTTCTGGCCATAGTTACGACTGTAACTACGGTTCTAAGCCGTGTAAGTACTGGCCATAGTTACTACTGTAACTACGGTTATATGCCGTGTGAGCACTGGCCATGGTTACTGCTGTAACTACGGCTCTGTGCTGTTCTCTTCTTTAGAAGCTAGTTATCTGGTCTTAAACATGTGTGTTATTTTACTTGATCTCGCTTGATCGTTAGCAGCAGCTGCTCGGCTAACGTCTTGCGTGTACTGTTAAGCTTCTTTATTTTACCCAGCTAGGTGCTCTCGCTCCCGCTCCCTCTACCGGTAATGCGGATGTAGCTACATCCCTTTTTCTGTTCGGTGAGTAGTAGCACCGCTCTACTCTTCCCGTTCAGCAGGTAGCTGGTGAAGGCTGTGTTCCCGCACCCGCTCCCGGTTACGCTGCATCTGGCATTCGTCTCTAACTCAACCAGTGAAGGCAGTGTTCTCGCCCCTGCTCCTGGTAGACGTTGAACTGCCTCGCTTCTCCGTTAAGCAGGTAGCCGGTGAAGGCTGTGTTCCCGCACCCGCTCCCGGTTACGCTGCATCTGGCATTCGTCTCTAACTCAACCAGTGAAGGCAGTGTTCTCGCCCCCGCTCCTGGTAGACGTTGAACTGCCTCGTTTTTCCGTTAAGCAGGTAGCTGGTGAAGGCTGTGTTCCCGCACCCACTCCCGGTTACGCTGCATCTGGCATTCGTCTCTAACTCAACCAGTGAAGGCAGTGTTCTCGCCCCCGCTCCTGGTAGACGCGGAACTGCCTTGTTTCTCCGTTAAAGGAATGGTATGCTCATGACACTCATTTTTAAATAATTATAATCCGATAAAACAGACCAGTCTCTGCCAGTCTTTTTTTTTTTTTTTTAATCCGATGACATTATCAGTGATTTTAAACTGATTAATTACCGAAATAACATCAACACTGTGGGCGGCGCCATTTTACCGGACGTGACGTAAACCATGCGTTTGGTTTCGAGGACACATTGATGTTCATGTTATTTACTGTAGCTACTTTCTTCAAATATGCCTCATTGTATCGCGAAACATTGCCACAATTCTGATAGGAACAATCCACGGAATGCTCGGTTCCATCTGTTGCCAAAAGGTAAGCGTAGGAAGTACGTTCGGAGGCAGTGGCTAGCGAAATGTGGCCGGCCCGAACCGAAAGATCCACAGGCGCATGTATGCAGCGAACATTTCAAGTTTCCGGACGACTACTCTGAGAGTATGATAAAACATAACATGGGATTTATTGAACAACCATTACTTAATGGAGATGCAGTACCATCGGTCTTTCTGGTGTCATCACCGACCAGGACACCAGTTCGGCCAGTTGAGAAATCGCCCTCTGCAAGTGTGAAGCGACGGAGGACCAGAAGTAGTGCTCGGAGTAAGAATAAGGTATGTTATAGCGCATTTCCATTGCAGCGAGTAGCCCCGTTTAAACGTCCTTTATCATCCAGGCCAGGCCAGTTTTTGGTGG